AGTCGTATTTTGCGTGCCCTCCAACCTTAGGAGCTTATCTTCTGGCACTATATCAGACAATGTTCTGCGGCTATTCATAAGGTTTTCACTTGCCAGTTTTTTCAGAAGTAGATTGCCAGGTTCTTCTTCCTAGTCTGTCTTAGTCTGGAAGCTCCACTGAAACCTGTCCGCCAAGAGTGACCCTGCTGGCATTCAAAATACTGGTGGCAAAGCTTCCAGTATCACAGCAACACGCAAGCCACCACAGTATGACAAACAGACAGGTGGTGGAAAACATACTATAAAGCCTCTATAATTAGAATAGTTCGTACAGGTGCCTGAACAGACAAACAGACCAGTGTAAAATAATTACTTATGTATGTCCAATTGCTCCAGCCCTGTTTGTTGAAAAGACAATTTTTCCTCCATTGAATTGCTTTTGCACCTTTGTCAAAAATCTGCTGGCTATACTTGTGTAGGTCTATTTCTAGGTCATCTAGTTTGTTCCATTAATCCATGTGTCTAATTATTTCAAAGTAAAAAGTGTTTTAAAAAGTCAGCTGGAGGTCTAATGAGAGAATTACAGAGAAAATATCCTTTGGATTTGGCAATTAGTGGTAACTGGTAATATTAATAACAAAGCAGTGGAGCTTCTACAAGACAGATTGCCAAGAGTAGAAGACTCAGGACTGAATGATTGTTTTCATATCTGGCTCCCTATTTTAGTTTGTGAGACACTAGAAAGCAAGAACTGAAAAATTTATGATTCACCAAGTCTCACATTAAATACTTATGAATGTTCTGAGTTTGTTTTCTAGCAGTTCTTACACCGAGTAAAGAGGCAGGTACACACAAAATCTCCAGAAAAACTGGGAAGCAGGTGGAGGAGGAAGAAAGGTTATTTAAAACAAACAAACAAACAAACAAAAAAACCCTGAAATAGCTAAAATGAGGTTTTTGAAGTATCCTCAATCCACATGGTAGTAGCCTCCTCAGCCTACTATCCCTAAGGGGAACTGTGAGGGACTTGGGGAAACCAGTACCCCCATCTGGAAGCATGCTGACAGCTTCCTCTTTTGTGTAATCAGCTCCAAAAATTTCTGTATCCTTTGCCATTAAAGGAATTTTACATGTTGCCTCTTTCCACCAATCACATCACAGCCCCATATTGTCATTCATGCAGTCAGTGTCTTTTTCTTTTTTAATCTCTAGCACCCAGCATGTAGTTAGCACACAATAGATTCTGAACAAGTATTTGTTGAGTGGATAGACATCATTATATCAAACTCTTACCCAAAAAAAAAGAAAAGAAAAGAAAAGAAAATGTATTTTCTTTATAATTGTCACTTTGAATATTTCTTTTTTTAGTAGTTTGAAATAACTAAAACATTTACACATCTAATCCTCAAATAATGAATGACAAGAAAATTATAACTCAAAACCTATACTGTCCTCCATGACATGCTCATTCCGCTTGATACAGAAGATAAAAATCTCAGTTTCTAAATGTCTTCCTTTTATAGAATGGGCCTTAGCAGGTGGTCTTAGAAGAAATATAAAAAATTGCACTCACTCCTTTTTTTTTAATTTCACTGGCCATCTGTCAAAAACAAACAAGATATAATTACATCAGAGAGAAAATTTTAAAAATAAATATAAATAGCTTAAAATACATCTATCTCATTTTTTAAATGTTAATTATATTGA